TGTGCTGGCCCAGAAAAGTTTCAGCTCTGTCAGCCAAATGTGTACCTTAATCCAGCCTTGTAATAACAACATGTGCCGGAGCATAATAGTGCAAAAGTAACATGATGAAACTGTTCAGACAGTGACTGGACTGTTTCGTATGTAGTGCTTCTCTACTCTCGCAGATTACTCAGAGTGCTCTAAACATGCCACATTCAACCAATCACACACTTTCTCTAAACTGAGTGCTTCCTAACTACATTCATACACATTCACACTCTTGACATGCAGACTGAAGGAGCCAGGGATTGAACAATTAACCTTTTGATCAGGGAGTGACCTGCTCTACCTCCTATGCTACAGCCAACTATTGGTAAACATGAGTAAACCATTACTAGGTTTTGGATAAAGTGTACACTCAGAAACCTGTCAAACCTGCATTTGAAACATTGGCTACCATAGCAGTATAGTATTGCAACATGGCATTTGGGTCTTCGAACTAAAATTTACTGGCAACCAGCGAAGAGAAGCCAAAACTGGAGTATTATATCATCTTCTGTTAAACGACCGTTGCAGTTACGTTAATCCAAACGAGAAGAGATAAAAGCATGAATAATCATCTCGAGTTCCACCTCTGACACCAGTCTGAGTTTAGAAATGTTTCTTAGATGAGACAAACAGTTTCGAACCAGTTGTTCTCAGGTGACACTCAATGGCTGTATCCCAATTCAGGGTCTGCAGCCTTAAAGTACGCAGCCTTAACGGTCCACAAGGGCCGCGTACTCAAAGACCGCTAAGGCCGGAAGTGCGAGGCTTGTGAAATGGGACGGTCTAGCCTCCATCGCGCTGTCCAGGTTGCCTAGCAACCATGATACTAACAGCTGGAAACGTTTCATACAGCTTTGTTTGACAGAAATGAAAGAGAAAATATTTTGTTCATTTGTTTGTTTGTTTCTACATGAGCTTTGATTTGATAAGTATCTGAGGCTTATTTTTATGGCTGAATGGGAGACTGGAGCTCTAAATAAATGTGACAAGAAACCTTTGCATTATTTCAGATACCTGGATCACATCTGGGGCATCTGGACACACTCGGAGGAAGACTTTGAACAGTTCCTGGACACACTGGACACACATAATCTCTCAATCAAATTAAAATCTATCCACATCAGTTGATTTTTTAGACATCTAACTTTCAAACATCTCACACACACAAAGTCTTTTAAAAAAAAAAACAGACACACATGCACTTCTTTACATATCAAGTTATCATCCCAAGCACACATATGCTGTCTTAATCAAATCCCAACTACTCAGATTCCACAGAATTTGCACTCAGCAGTCAGACTTTAAAACTTCCACTAAAGTGTTGTTTTCAGCTTTGTCCACCAGAAGGTACTCACGCTCCTTCCTAAGGAGCTGTATCAAAGTCTTCCTTCAGATGCTGCCTCTGGTCACAACTTTTTCCTCCTCACCAGTTCAGCTGGTAAAACAGATTAAAAACAAGTTTGAGACATTCCAGCAACAGTCCAGCCTCTGAAAGAATCACAGAATCATTGCTGCTTTTCAGAGGAATAAGAATTTATAGGATTATTTAGTACATGCTAAACTCAAAACATTATCTAACCCCAAAACAAGTGCTCAAGGGGAATTTTTTTCAACATAAGGAGTGGTTACAAAACAAAGTAAACAAAAATGTGTACCTGACCTGTTGTAGAGGCAGTCCCCACTCCAAAAATTGTGTATATCTGATCACATGTCAGCAAGGCAGACTGCAATATGTGGGAGAGACCGGTAACACCATCCTGGTCAGATTTACACAGCACAGGTATAACAAACCCCAAAAGGACAACCATGTTCCTCTCATTACCCACTTTGTTGGAATAATGTGAAGGCCACAGTGGTCCACGGCACAGAGGGGGAGATCTGAAAGGCTGTGGATTAACAAACTGAACACCGTTCACCCCAGAGGCCTGAATGAGAAGTTCAATTCATTTCACTTTCATTTATATAGCGCCAATTCACAACAAATGTCATGTCAAGGCACTTTACAACAAAAGTCATTTCAATATAATTATACAAACATTTCAATCAGTTAAAAGTTTTCTATGTAAGGAATCCCAGCAGAGTCACTGATGTGAGGTTGTGTCCTGATCATGCAGACTCCAACCATAGCAATCCCTCATACTGAGCAAGCATGTAGCGACAGTGGAGAGGAAAAACTCCCCTTTAACAAGAAGAAACCTCCGGCAGAACCAGAACCAGGACCAGAACCTGGCTCAGTTCAAGCGGTCATCTGCCACGACTGTCTGGGGGTCTGAGAAGACAGAACAGACAGCATGGAGGATGCTCGGTCACTTAGAGCAGCGGTCCCCAACCTTTTTTGCGCCACGGACCGGTTTATGCCCGACAATATTTTCACAGACCGGCTTTTAAGGTGTCGCGGATAAATACAACAAAATAAAACTAGTACCGGTACCGAAAAAAGAAGATTTATTCATAACACACGTGAAAAGACCCAACGATAAAAACGATAACAAAATAATGCTGAAAACCGATAAAAACCCTGAAATCTATACATTTCACACCTGAGCCTCAACTCTCGCGGCCCGGTACCGGTCCAAGGCCCGGGGATTGGGGACCGCTGACTTAGACCATCATCTGGACCGATGTTCCCCATCCAGCAGGGGGCATTATAGTTGATAGGATACCAGACCGGGTGGAGCTTCTTTGGTGAGAAAAACACTGAGGGAAAACAAGGTTATCAATCGCAATAACAGCAGAAAAAAATATATCTGGAGAGTAGTAGAATACAAAAGTAGAAGAGGGAAGAAAAGTGGTCAGACTGTCCTCCAACAGTCTAAGCCTATAGCAGCATAACTACAGAGATAACTCAGGATATCCTAAGCCATTCTAACTATAAGCTTTATCACAAAGGAAGGTTTTAAGCCTAGTTTAAGTAGCCCCACAGACTGACAGTTAACCTGGTATTTTTTTTTCTTTAGTTTTTTCTTTTTCTTTTTTTCTGACACCTTGCCCTAGCCTTAACCTGTCCTTACCTCGCCTTCCTACCCCACTTGCCCTAACCCTATCATCCTGCCCCAACCCTGACTGACTGGGACCCTGACTTACCTGCTTTTGGTTTACTATAGTGCTCACTCTTCCTCTGGCCCCAATCCTGGATCCCTTCCTGGACACCTGCTTCTCCAAAACAGACCTTTGGGAGACTTCGGTCTCAGGCAGCAGGCTGGAGGGGCCAAGATGTGATGGCCTGTGCATCCATCTTTTCTCATTTCTAACACTCTGACACTTTTTAATTATTATTAATATTGTGATTTTAAGCCAAAAAGTAAAATGGAACCATGTTTATGCTGGGAGAGAATAATTATTGTCCCCAAAAAACCCTACTTCCTTTTAAGTGCGGTCCAAATTAGTTTTTATTTTTAAACAACAAACGTTTCAGTTTGAATTTTAAGCATCAGAGGAAGCCACTCCACATTTTAATTTTATTCATTTTATTTTAATGAAATAGCATGTCAAACTGATATATCTGTATTTTTACTTACTTTACTATGTATGTGACTGATAGTAATATTCTTTAAAAGTAAACTTTATTAGCAGCCAGCACGTTTGTCTCGTGGGATTGCATATGGGTGTTTTTAAAGTAGATATGATGAGTGATAATATGGACTAATATAAATGAACTCCAAATGTAAGTAAGAAAACCTTTTTGAGTGTAAAGAGCAAACCATCGACTGTATCTACGAGCTGAGCCGAACTCTCGTGACATCTCCCAAAGAAAATTACTTTTATTTCCAGCTCCATCAAACAAGGCTATTTCAGTCGCCATGTTGGAGCCAGAATACATCAGTCAGCACTCATAGCTCCAAGACAGAGAGACTCATTGTTTTTAGGGCAACCACTCTGCCAACAAGGAGCGAACTTGACAGAGGCCCTGCTGTGATTGGCCAAACTTTGGAACGTTCCCCAAGGTGGTTTTATTGGGGCATCTGATTCGCCAGTTAATAACTTGAATAACTTTAGTTAAATACCAAATGTCACAGAAAAAAAATATTACCAGCAAGAACATGTTAAACACCTACTCTACCATCACAGGGGGTGTACAGATTTATAGAAGTTAAATTGAAGTCTTTTTAAGACCATTTAAACATGTCAAAATGATAAAGATACATACTCAATTTTTTTTTAAGTGACAGGAAGGCACATTGCTTTGACGAGACAAAAAAGAAAGACCCAGTTACCCAGAATTTGACACAATGTTATACTTCTTAAGGCCTTATTTAAATGAAATGAAATGAAATGAAATTGAAGACCTTTTAAGAATCTGTAGACACCTGGTCAGGTGTGTCCAGCCAGTTAAAAGCAGGAACTGGATAAAAGTGGGACATTTGAAGGAAGTGAAAGCCCTCTTTTTCTTCTCCAACCTTTATTTTACCAGGGAAGTCCTGTTGAGATTTGGCATCTCTTTATCAAAGGAGCCCTGGGAGTGAATCAGTCACACACTCACACTGAAGGACAATTTACAGACTCCAATTAACCTACAGCATGTTCTTTTGGACTGTGGGAGGAAACCAGAGTACCCAGAGGAGACCCACACATGTATGGGGAGAACATGCAAATTCTACACAGGAAGGCCCCAGCTGGGAATCAAACCTGGAACCTTGTGATTATGAAGCAGCAGTGCTAACCACTGTGCTTTCTACCAACCGCTACCAACTGCTTCTTATTGGCTTAAACACACCTGGCCCAGGTGATCAGCAGGAAGTACAACAATTAAATCCAGGAAACCAGGATGGTGTTGGCCTTGAGGGATTGAGTTTGACACCTGTGGTTTAGTGGATTATTGGTCCAAAACAAGAGGAAGAGCTGCAGTCAAATCAAAGCACTGAGTCCATAATGGGTTCCAGCATAGCTGTGGGTTTTATTGATTACAAACTGCACCCTCAGCGGGATCTCTCCTTTTGACTGTTGCTGCCGTGTGAGGAGCATCAGAGAGGTTTTTATTTGCAGCAGAAGAACTGCACGTCGTTGAGCGCTGTGTCATCGCCCCAGCCCTGCGGCTCCTCCACGCGGGTCCTCAGCCCACAGATGGCGCCTCTGGGACACTTCCTGCTCCAGTGTCCCCACTCGCCCCACTGCAGCCCATCACCCTCCAGCTGAGCGCCGGTGCCGCTGCAGATGAATCTGTGAGAAAAGTTTTTGAATGGTGACAGATGTTCCAGTGTTTTTCTCTGTGTGTCTGTCTCTTTACTGTCCTCTCAGATGCCAACCAACTCAGCCAGATAGTTTTCCTTTCTGATTCTGGGGAGGTTCGGTGATTACAGAGTTCCCCAGCCTATTCACGTTTCAAAACTATCTGAGAGGAGCTTGAAAACTATAGTGACACTGTACAGTCACTATAAAACATTATTATTCTTTAACTTTCATTTGAGACGTTGGACATAAAAAGAAAGGTTTGGTTTGTTTTCCGACTCATGAAATGCTGGAGAGAGTGTAGGTAGTTAGAGTTTGATGCTTGACTCGTCCCAAGGTCTCCTCTGGGCGATGCGTTCACTTACTTGATGTTGTTGACGGATGTGTCGTCACCCTGGCCCTGTGCAGACTCAACGCGGAGCATAAAGGAGGCCAGGTATCCAGTTTCACAGCTCTTCACCGCAGTCCAGTCCCCCCAACTGAATAATAATAATAGATTAGATTTATACTGCACTTTTCTAGACACCCAAAGTGCTTACAGGGTGTATCCATTTACTCCACATTCATACTTGGTGATGCTAAACTACTATGTAGCCACAGCTGTCCTGGGGCAGGCTGACAGAAGCACGGCTGCCAGTGTGTGCCTATGGCCCCCCTGACCATTCAATTCAATTCAGTTTATTTATATAGCGCTAATTCACAGCGAACATTGTTTCAGAGCTACAGAGACGAGACACACAAACACAAAAAAAGGAGGCGGGCCAGTCGACATTTCTATGGAGAGAGAAACAGAATTAATGGCAGTAATAATTATTAGGACAAACAGATATGAAAAGAGTAGAGAGAGCAGAAAAGAAATGTGGTCAGTTTGTCCTCCAGCCCAGCGGTCCCCAACCCCCGGGCCTCGGACCGGTACCGGTCCGTGAGTCGTTTGGTACCGGGCCGCGAGAGTTTAGGCTCAGGTGTGAAATGTCTGTTTTTCAGGGTTTTATCGGTTTTCAGCGTTATTTTGTTATCGTTTTTATCGTTAACTCGGTTTTCCTGGGTCTTTTCACGTGTGTTATGAATAAATTTTCTTTTTTTCAGTTTTATTTTGTTGTATTTATCCGCGACACCTTAAAGGCCGGTCCGTGAAAATATTGTCGGGCATAAACCGGTCCGTGGCGCAAAAAAGGTTGGAGACCGCTGTTCAAGCCTATAGCAGCAAAACTAAGATAAGGGGGGTGGGCGTGATTAAATAATAATAGAATAAAAGATAGCGATGACTGTCTGTGCGATGATGTGTGAGGGTGGAGAAAGACGCTAGCATGCCCAAGGAGACAACTCAGGATAGACTAAACACTCCCCAGGTGAGTTAGGCTTATTGGCATGCCAGCATTTGAAAAAGAGATGAGAGAGAAGAGGAGGGAAGAGAAAAAGAAGAGAAGAAAAAGGAGGCTGAGTCAGAGAGAGGATGGCAGAAATTTAAATTCCTAAGTATAAGATTTATTAAAGAGGAAAGTTTTAAGTCTAGTCTTAAAAATAGACAAGGTGTCAGCATCACAGATGAAAGTTGGGAGCTGGTTCCACAAAAGAGGAGCTTGAAAACTAAAAGCTTTGCCTTTCATTCTACTTTTAGAAACTCCAGGACCATCACCAGAAACACTCACACTCCAGTGGTGCCAACACCGGAGACAAGGAAGGTTAAATGTCTTGCCCAAGGACACAACAACATGACTAGCAAGAGTAGGATTCAAACCGCTGACCTCTTGATCATTGGACAACCTGCTCAACCACCTGAGCCACCACTGTTAATCTTCCAGTTCAACAACAAAGCTCCACCACAGGCTGAGGATGTCTGTGAGTTGTTCAGGTAGTTTGGTGTTTTTGTCAAGGTTCTTTCAGCAACAAAACATTAATATAAATTATCATTAAAAAACATACAAATAAAATAAGCAGTTCAAAAATCGAAACAAATGACTTTCAACTGTTCATAAGGTGGTGAAATGCTTTTCTGCACCCTCTCCAAACACAATAGAAAATAAATAAATAATATACTCAGTGGCTGTAGAACATTTTTGATTCAGTTTGTCAGTAAAGAAGAACACTTGGCTATTTTTGCTAACAACATATTTCAGAGTATGGTGCCAAATCAACCAATCAGTCAGCGGCTTTGTACAGTATCTCTTAATGTAAAACCCAATCAGCTAACATGTGCACGTGTGACCAGGACACCGGAAATATAATGACACATACACATTTTTTAAAATTATTATAATAAGTAATTCTCATGGGCAGTGCTAGGTGTCTTTAAGTTTAAAAAAAGTTTTAAGAAGAAAATATAGTATAAAACAAGAAACACATTAAACAGACACACCATAATACATCCACACACACACACAAGCTCACAAAAGTGCTCCACCTCTTCCTATTCCCCAGTTTAAGACACAAATAACACTTGACCCCTCATTGTATTTCATGAAAACTGGATTTTAAAACATTTTAAACAGTATATATGAAGGATGTAGGACTTGTCCACACATATGCGGGTATATCTCTAGATATATCTCCGTTTTTAAAAAATATCCGCTTTAGGCTGAACTGTTTTATATCAAAATGATTGGGCACAGCTGTGAGCCCTTAAGCGGCAATCTTTACCCAATTAGAAACTTATTGTTTGTGGACACTAACGAAATGTCCACATATATCCCAATCTTTAGATATATCCCCTCCCCACATGACTGTTTTAAAATACATTTCTATTTTCATGACCCCTAGATTAAAACGCCCACGTGACTACATCAGCCAATCGGAGCGATTGTTGTCTGTTCAATCACTTCTGCACTGAAAAAGCTGTGGGGCCAAAGTGGGTTTTTTTGGACTGATAAAAAGGTAGAATTCCTTTTAAACCTTGTTTAAATGTTTCCACTCCCTGAGAAAACTACCTCCCTCTACAAATTTCCCTCTAGTCGGCTCACGGTGAGTTCAAGTTTAATCTGACACGGCGCTGCTTTCTTGATTAGGGAGAGAAAGTTGGTGTGAAACAGCCGAGCTAAGAGAAGAGCGCTCCTTCATATTTGGTCCTCAGCGTGATCAGAGTTAGGTTTGGAAAGAAAAATACTAGGGCTGTCACTTTTGGTGTGTTTTTGTCACGTTAACGTGAACACCCTTTAACGCCGTCAAGTTTTTTTTGACTCCATCGTCTAAGGAGCTTGGAAAGAAAAGCGTCTGGACTTCTTTAAGTTGCTTGAAGACGTTTCACCTCTCATCTGCGAAGCTCGTTCAGTTAAAAAAACTCTGAAAAATATGAAAGAAGATGTAAAATTCAAGCCAAAGAGCAAAATCAGATTAGACTCAGGCTCCATCAATCACACATCAAAAGAATCAACTTTGTCCTGCAGCAGCTGCTTTGTGAGCGAGTAACTCCTGCTCCTCCCTACTCTGCCTAGTAACAACAGACGTGCAACTTGAAGAGAGAGAGAGAGAAAGAGAGGACTCTGAGAGCCGTTTTAATGCTATGGACACTTGACTCGAAGCATCTTCTTGGCGCATTCACAAGGCAAACATGGAGAACGGAGAATTATTAACGGCAAGTTTATAAGCCGTGTCATGTATTTTCAGCCCTCCCTCCAAAAGCAGGCACACAGACAGCCCTTTATTTTTGTTAGTGAAGTTGGAGTCCTAGAGAACAGCAATAAAATGTTAAAATCAAAGTAGTTATAACCTTATTACACTGTGCAGGCGAGTTTGTTGCTTCTTACACTCTACACATAGTGATATTTTAACATAGATATGTATTCATTTCTTACTTCATTTTTACTTAAAGAGATTATTTGGATCACCTTGTATTTTCATCAATGTGGGTTAAACACAGTCGTGGTGAGTTAGTTTAAGTTGAAAAGATTCAGTAAGTGAACTTTGAATGATCAGTGATTCTGTTGCATATGCTCAGCTGTTTTCAGCTCTTCATTTTATCTGTATGCTTGAAACGTTACATTATATTGTGGTAGTCGACTATGTGGTGTTTCATTCTGCTCAATTACTAATCTGATTTTGCTCTTTGGCTTTAATTTTACATCTTCTTTCATATTTTTCAGAGTTTTTTTTATGTTTAATTGTTTTAATACAAAATGTGAAACTGATAAATATATTTTAAATGTACATTTTTAACAATAAAAAAAGTATAAAAATTTGCCATTAATTTGAGATTGATCATGAGTTAATTACAAACAAATTCCAACTAATCGTGATTAAAAATTGTAATCACCTGACAGCCCCCCAAAATACAGATATTTGGACTATTTAGAAGTATATTTGGAAAGTGTTAGTATGAGCCCAACCAACAAGTGTTCATTCTCTTGCCTAGCAACCATGCATGCTGAGTGATGTAATGGTATTAAAATATCTCTGGTTGTGATGTAAATATCCTTCTTGCCCCATCCACATGAAAATGAAGATCCAAAGGTTTTAAAAATCTCCACATTGGCCGGAGTTTTTAGATTTCTCTGTTTGTTTGATGATGAATTTCTCCGTTTTTGTGTGGATGAAAGAGCAAAACAGAAAAAAATGTTTGCGTTTATCAAATATCCCCATATACAGTGGGGCAAAAAAGTATTTAGTCAGCCACCGATTGTGCAAGTTCCCCCACTTAAAATGATGACAGAGGTCAGTAATTTGCACCAGAGGTACACTTCAACTGTGAGAGACAGAATGTGAAAAACAAATCCATGAATCCACATGGTAGGATTTGTAAAGAATTTATTCGTAAATCAGGGTGGAAAATAAGTATTTGGTCAATAACAAAAATACAACTCAATATTTTGTAACATAACCTTTGTTGGCAATAACAGAGGTCAAACGTTTACTATAGGTCTTTACCAGGTTTGCACACACAGTAGCTGGTATTTTGGCCCATTCCTCCATGCAGATCTTCTCGAGAGCAGTGATGTTTTGGGGCTGTCGCCGAGCAACACGGACTTTCAACTGCCGCCACAGATTTTCTATGGGGTTGAGGTCTGGAGACTGGCTAGGCCACTCCAGGACTTTCAAATGCTTCTTACGGAGCCACTCCTTTGTTGCCCGGGCGGTGTGTTTTGGATCATTGTCATGTTGGAAGACCCAGCCTCGTTTCATCTTCAAAGTTCTCACTGATGGAAGGAGGTTTTGGCTCAAAATCTCACGATACATGGCCCCATTCATTCTGTCCTTAACACGGATCAGTCGTCCTGTCCCCTTGGCAGAAAAACAGCCCCATAGCATGATGTTTCCACCCCCATGCTTCACAGTAGGTATGGTGTTCTTGGGATGCAACTCAGTATTCTTCTTCCTCCAAACACGACGAGTTGAGTTTATACCAAAAAGTTCTACTTTGGTTTCATCTGACCACATGACATTCTCCCAATCCTCTGCTGTATCATCCATGTGCTCTCTGGCAAACTTCAGACGGGCCTGGACATGCACTGGCTTCAGCAGCGGAACACGTCTGGCACTGCGGGATTTGATTCCCTGCCGTTGTAGTGTGTTACTGATGCTGACCTTTGTTACTTTGGTCCCAGCTCTCTGCAGGTCATTCACCAGGTCCCCCCGTGTGGTTCTGGGATCTTTGCTCACCGTTCTCATGATCATTTTGACCCCACGGGATGAGATCTTGCGTGGAGCCCCAGATCGAGGGAGATTATCAGTGGTCTTGTATGTCTTCCATTTTCTGATGATTGCTCCCACAGTTGCTTTTTTCACACCAAGCTGCTTGCCTATTGTAGATTCACTCTTCCCAGTCTGGTGCAGGTCTACAATACTTTTCCTGGTGTCCTTCGAAAGCTCTTTGGTCTTGGCCATGGTGGAGTTTGGAGTCTGACTGTTTGAGGCTGTGGACAGGTGTCTTTTATACAGATGATGAGTTCAAACAGGTGCCATTCATACAGGTAACGAGTGGGGGACAGAAAAGCTTCTTACAGAAGACGTTACAGGTCTGTGAGAGCCAGAGATTTTCCTTGTTTGAGGTGACCAAATACTTATTGATTTACGAATAAATTCTTTACAAATCCTACCATGTGAATTCATGGATTTTTTTTTTCACATTCTGTCTCTCACAAATTACTGACCTCTGTCATCATTTTAGGTGGGGAACTTGCACAATCGGTGGCTGACTAAATACTTTTTTGCCCCACTGTATACCCGGAGTTGTGGGGACAGGACCTTATTTATTTTCTTGCCCTGTTTATGTGTGTGACCCATTGACTGTATATAGGAGCTGGACCCAGTCAGCGTGACGTCGCCGTGATCCACATTGAAAGTGCCTGCTGGCTGCAAGAAGAAAAAAACCCTCCTGATTGGCAGAGTGAAATAAAAGGGCGACTGAAAAGGCTTCATTCGAGAAGTAAGTCATTTTCTATGGATGACGTCACACTCACTCACTCCAGTTCTTTTATACAGTCAATGGTGTGACCGACGGCTCATCGTTCAGATGACGCTGCTGCCTCACCTCCCCACAGAAGATTGCACTGTGGTCCGCTGTTTGCTGCTGGGGTCAAAACAGTGCAAGCGTATCCCGTTAACAGCCGTGTCGTCTCCAGAGCCTTGTTGAGCCTCCACCTAAGACAGAGCCACAGGGAGAACCACAGGAAGTTCATCATGGTTGGTGTTCGTTAGACAGCACTTTCTCATACATCACAAACAGATCACAAAACATGGACGCATCATGCACTGAGCTTTGATGACACAAGTTAGCAGCGACAGCAACAGTTAAATCTGTTTCATAAAACCCTGAATCAGCAGAACCTGTTGAGATGGAAGATTTGTATCATGCTCAGAACTTCTCAAACCACAACTCTAGAGTCAAGTGAAATATCAAAGACCTTGTTACTAAGTCTGTTGTTCAGCTACCGGTACCTGGATTTACGCAGTAGTTATTGGCAAGTTGAGCTGGCAGAGGGTGCTTGTCCAATAACTGCATGCACACTGTAGACAAGAGGCTGTGGCAGTTTAAGCTGATGACGTTTAGACTTTGTAACAATGGCTACCTTTGAGAGACTGATAGAGCAGGTCCTCAACAACTAAGGCTGTCACCTTTAACGCACTAAAGACAGTATCACAGACAGCTCTCACCCTGGCTTTAAGTTGTTTAAACTGCTGCCCTCTGATACAGTAGGTGCTATAGGTGTTTGAGAACAAAAACAAATAGACTTAAAAATAGCTTTTTTCCTAAAGCTATTGCCACCCTGAACTCCCACATGGAGTAAATTATTTATCCATTTACTTATTTATCCATTTTCTATTTTTCTAATTTATGTCATCTTTGCTAATTGTAAATTAAGTGTGTCTGTGTATGTATTTATATCACATAAATATATTTATCTACCATGTATTATACATATCCCCCCATGGACCCACCACCCGCAGGGGGGACCATAAGGAGCCAGTGCAATGTGGTTTGGGCAGTGGTCGAAGGCAGGAGCCCCAATGGCTCAAACCACGGCACAGAAACTGGCTTTTAGCGTCACTTCTTTGGGGGTGTGGTGGAGCCTGAGCTTGTGCAGGAGGCTGGAAGGTACCGGCTAGATATAGTCGGGCTTGCCACTCTGGAGTTGCCACGGTGAGAGGCACTTCGCCTTCTGGCGGGGGGACAGGTCTGCGACTGTTGTTTCAGCCTACGGGCTGAGCAGTAGTTCAGAGTACTTCTTGGAGTCTCTCGGAGGGGTGCTGGAAAGTACTCCTTCGGGGGACTCCATTGTCCTACTGGGACACTTCAACACTCACTTGGGTAACGACAGTAACACCTGGAAGGGAGTAACTGGGAGAAAGAGATGTCCTCATGGAAACTTGTCAAGCTGGACTGCGACTGAACTCGGCCAGATCTAACCTATTGGCCTAATAATCCAATGAAAAAATTGGACACCCTTTTCCACTCTACCACCAGATTTTTAACAAATGCTTCCTCAAATCTCCCCACCATTCCTTTATTCCTCACTAAAACGGACTTCATTATTCACTCAACGAAAAATGTACTTGTTACTGTTAATTTCTCCTTTGTCTCTCGCCTCCTTATGTAAGCTAGCTTTTGTTGTTTCATCCACTATTGAACAAAACCAGTTCTGCAAACCTGATCATGGTAACAGTCCCTCCTCACTTGGTTCTCGGCCCTTTCAGTCAATGCAACCACAGACTGGGATGACTTACAAATTTTTTTTTTTAGGTTGTGTACTTTAGTTTGAAAGGAAGATTTTAAAACTTTTTTAAATGATATATTTAAAAAAAATGCTGTGACATGGTTTAAGAATTTAATTATTTTAAATTGTATTATTATATCGTGGACATGTTGATGTCTGTCCTGATTGTTTCAATTTTATTTACTTTTTACTTATAATTAATTTTCTTTAGTTCGCTTTATCAGAAGAAGTTTATCTCAACATGCTATGAGATAAGAATTATTCGCCAATGAAAACACAATAACCCTTTTTAATAACCCATATGTACAGACATAAAAAAAACATTTCTTATGTACCAATCCTCTTTTTTACACATTTTAAGTACCATGGAACAGAGTAACGTGGTACATGTAACATGTACCACGTTATTACGATTAATAAGAAGGTCACCAACATCAGCTTGAAGAGCGGTTTGAGCAGGTGTTGCTATAGATAAACCATTACCAGACACATTAGAGCAGGAGTGAATCCTCTTCACCACTCACCTTGATGCTGAAGCCATCAGCATAAGAGCCTACAGGACACATCTCCGTGACACCCCAGTCCCCCCACTGTGTGCTGTATAGTACAGAAAGCTGGGGGGTAGTGGTATGTCCTGGCACCACGTGCACCCACGACAGCAGCAGCAGGTATGTGGTGCTCAGACTCAGACGCAGCATCTGTGCGGTTTATGGACAAGAGCAAAGCGGGAAGGATAACGAACAGAAAAATTCTCTCTAACAGGTCTCTTGATTTGGACACATGAAGCAGAGCTCCCTAATATGTGGACATAAACACTTACGCAATATTTGTATATTTGTGTCATCAGTATTGCTAATCTGTAACTAAAGCTGCCCCACTCGAGGGGCACACATCAAGTCTCCTGTGAGTATTTTTTAACAGCATTTAGCTCACACATTTATCTGACACTTTACTGACAGTCAGGTGTAAGATTTTAAAGGTTACTTGTAGCATTTTGGAGTTATCAAAGGACAAAAGGGGATGGCTGTAGAGAGACAAATGCTTATTAACCAGTTCTTCCCCTTTCTATTCTTACTTAGTAGATCTTTTTTTTGTTTTCACTTTTTCTGTCCAGAGTTGGGAATTTTCATTTTGCAGAAATGCCAAGCAGGGTCTGCATTACCACTGTAGCTCTTTTGTAGTGCCATGTGGCAAGAGCCCTGAACCATTTGACTTCAGCTGTTTGGTGGCCAGAGCCACATTTTGTGATGAAACTCAGCAGCTCCCAGCGATGGATGTGCAACTGTATGCATGTGAACTGGAGGTTTCTGAAAATATGTTTGCTCCTATAGGACTTACCTAAACTAAAATGAAAGGCTGCAGAAAAGAAATCAGTCCCAACATTACTATGCTATTACTGTCATCAGTTAGTCAGTGTAATAGACATAAGAACCTTTGGTTCACAAGCTTAAGTTGCTTAAGTAACTCTCTTTCTGCAAAATAAAGTATATAAAGACCAATGTTGGGCAATTAATTATATAGTTACTTCTTCAAAAAAGTTACAGAGTTATGCAAACAACAAAGTTTTTTGCAGCTGTTTACCTAAAAATGCAGCCAAGGCATTTTTCTAAACAAACATTTCAAAATATTTACAGAACAATCAGCTGTTCTCCATCAAATCTGATGCCACACAAATTATTTGTTCCACTCCAAAAAATAATTTCTGTCCACTATGAGATGAAGGAGAACAACAGCCTGATACCTGCAGGCCTGACAGCAGCAGATGTATCACTGCTGTAACACCTGTAACACTCAGCAGTCGCTTCATTGTTCTGACACACACAACCAAACTATTGACTACACTACACACTAACTACACAAGATTTGCGCTAAACGTGGCAAATCTCTCACATCTCAAAGCACCGCAGTCACTCCTAACCCCTCACTCCTCCCCCCAGGCTTTCGAGCGTTTTCCTTATAAAACGCCGTTTTTACCGTTTCTTCCTGCATTAAATATAAACAATGATAGTATTCAGGAAAACCAAACATTGCAGATATTTTTATCATAACTCTGGTTTTACGTGGCCGATCAACACAATTTAAAAACTGGTATAAAGTCCACACTTTTTCCGTCAATTGTTTCATCTGTCCTGCATCTCCAATGGTTGTACATGTTGTCATTAACGTGGCTTCACTCCACATCAGCCGCTTTGCCAGCTAAAACACCGGTGTCGGCACATAAGGACGCTGTCATAGCCTGTCAACGACGTTGATTAGCTGCGTATATACGAATGTGAATCGCACTATTGGCTAAGCTATCGTTCTAATCCCATACGGGAGCAGCCAGTCACTTACTGACTAACACTGCAAAACAGAATTGTTAAAGTTTTAATTTTAATTTCAGTTCAGGTTAGATTTTTTTTTTTTTTTTTTTTTGCGCAACACAGATTTTCTGTGTGCAGAGACGTGCCAGCAGTGTGCAATTGCGCACGTGCGCAACTTAGAGGGAACATTGGTCAAGAGTTGCTCAAAGTGACCTTGTACTGGAAACCACTAACTCTGGAAATAAGAACAAAAACAGTCTGTATCTGGGTTAAAACCTTGAAGCCGTTCCAATTGTGTTGTTTACAGGAAGACAGCTGACAAACTCCAAATACAAAGAGCAATTCTGCTACACTGACAGCAGATATTAACTTTTAATTGCTCAAGTTATTACAACATTAACACCTATTGCATAGTTAAATGTGGCAATCAGTTGGTAAGCAGTCTTATTCAGTTTAGTATCAGAAAGTTCCTTGGCATTCAGACGTAGTCAATGATAGTTTTTGGTTTTAGACCAGCCGCAGGGTCACCAGTTTTCCAGTCCGTGTTTTCAGATTCAAAATGACGGGAATTGGTTCAAAATGATAGACTGATCCAGATAAAATCTGTGAGCAAATATCCTGACAGAGCAGAGCAGTAATTGTTTTTCCAGTAAGTCCCATGCTTGCAGTATTAAGGTTGGGCAAACAGAAAAAAATCATTAAAACTTATCAGTACAAATAAACGCCTGCCAAGATTCAATAAAAAAATATATAACCCAAAGGCCTGGCACACAAAAACCTTTGTGTTCGACTTTTTCATGTTTAAGGATTTTGAAATGATTACATACATGCAGCTTCAGCTAAAGATATGTTTTGACTTGGGCACATAAAGCAGAGCTCCCTGATATGTGGACATAAACACTTACGCAATATTTGTATATCTGTGCCATCAGTATTGCTAATCTGTAACTAAAGCTGCCCCACTCGAGGGGCACACATCAAGTCTCCTATTTTTTAACAGCATTTAGATTACACATTTATCTGACGCTTTACTGACAGTCAGGTGTAAGATTTTAAAGGTTATTTGTAGCATTTTGGAGTTATCAAAGGACAAAAGGGGATGGCTGTAGCTTGGAAATACAAGCAATTGGGTGATTGGAAGTTCAAATCTTGGATCAGACAGTCAATGTCTTTGGGCAAGACATTTAACCCACATCGACTCCATTGTAGAACATGTTTGATGTGTACGCCAGTTTGAGTAAAAGCGTCTGCTGAAATAGTGAACACTATTTAGTATTAAAATTCAAACCCTAGAAGTGATATCGAGGAGTTAAATTTGATATAAGATGCAAAAAATTATATAGAGCTATGCAATAAAAAATTATTAAACTCGTAGGAGTCTCTGTGTCATGCAGAAGAGAGTGAGAAAGTATTTTTTCTCACTTTGGTCACAGCGCAGCATTAACTCTGTTGATTTTAAGCTGTAACTTTGTTTTCTGCTGAATCCGCGCGATAGATGTGCTCTTAGGCCAAAAGAGCTGGAAAAAAAAACTTGATCCGTTACCAGAGTAACCATGGCGCAGTCAAAATAAAAGGAGAGGTGAGGTTGGTTGAAACATTTTTTAATCCTTAATAACTGGGAGGATGTAAAAAGTAATTGAAACTGCAGCTTCTGTCAGTCACATAAAGACTTCTGAAAACTTGCGGCTCGCTGCTGCAGCGTGCATCACTAATTACAGCTGATTGTTTTCCTCATAGACATACGAATCAAGTAGGTGAACAGGGCGTATTTATGAAAGGCGATGTCATCAGATATCAGGAGAAATTCGGGAGTATGGTGGCTCTGGGAGAACGCAGACACAGTCAGATTCCCAATGAGAATTTTTATTAAATCTGAGCACAGATATGGAGATATTACTGTGCCGATATTACTGCACAGATATTACTTGTATGATGTTCGTACTCAGCAAAAGTGCTTTATCCGTACCAGATTAAAGACCCACCTGTTCTCAGCTGCATTTGTTTAGTATTCAAGGGTCTGCACCTGCACAATTGATTTAGGCTTGTGCTGGGTACATTTCATTTTAGCTTTCTTTGGGTCTCTGTTTGAGGGATCATTCCTTTCATTTTATTTTCTATCTTTTCTTTACTTTTAATGTTGTATGTAATTTCTTTTCATAATTTATGTAAAGCACTTTGAATTGTCTGTACACAAAAGGTGCTATAGAAATAAACTTGCCTTGCCTTCAGCACAGAATGTGTTTGCTCGAATACAGTATTTGAATGCTATTGGATGATGATCAGATAACGGAACAAGACCGCCACTCTTGGGTGATTCTTAATTTTTTGTCTACAGTTGATACAATCACTGCTCGGCTATTTTCAACCACTCAAATGGCTGAAATCGTCTGCTGAAGCCGAACTTCAGGATTTTTCTGCAGTCTAGAAGTCCTGCAGCATGAGCCATGTAGTGATGTTTCCATGACAGCGTACGACTTGTCGTGCCAGTGGTTGCATTTAAGGGAAAGGACTAAGCTTTGATGTACGTCTTTTTAACTTCTTTTTAAATATCACAATTTTAAGCTGAAATAAACAGTACCTTTACATGCAATAAGGTAAGATGTATTACCCCCCAAAATACAATACCCCCTGGTAACACCATACAGTGCATAGTTTTTCAAACAGAAGCTCCACCAAAAATGTGCAGATCATTTTGCAAAGGCTCAAGACTGGCTCATGTTGCCAAACAAGGAACAGCATCTTCCCTCATCTTCAAATGAGAGGAGAAAAGTTTAAAGTCTGTGAAAATGTCAACAAATACCACACTTGTAAGCCCACAAATTGTACCATGTTTATCTTTACATTCTGGGAGATCAGAATTATTATTATTATTACCCCCTCGCTCCTGCAGTCTATCCT